TAAACACACAGCCCCCTCACCCAAAGCTCATGTTCATCATTATTATGCTGTGTCCTCCTTGCTTTCTCCTACTTTTAGCAGAATTAATACTCAGTGGGGCAAATTGGCTGAACTGGTATCTCCCAGAAATTTTAGAGCAAAGCCAGACTGAAAATGAGGCCTCCGGACTGCCTGGTGAGGGCATTTCTTATTATGTCATACTGCTGCGGTTTGTGGAAACCTTCCCCCTACACAAATGCTTTGAACAAAAAATAATACTGCTGATTAAATTTTCCACCAAGCTTCAATCGTTTACCGGACTACCTTATGATTTAATATAAAACTAAACATTATGTTCCTTCTACAGTGTTTCTTGCTGGCTGGGCATTGTGCTCTGTTCTGAAAACATAATAATGAGTAAGATATTCATTGGCATTAATTCGTCCTCTTCATTCAATAGCTATTTACTAAGCCCTGTATGCCATGATACATAGTATGTTCCAGTTACATTATATTTTTAGTGCATATCTTTTGAATACCTGTTAGTAACCCGTTACTGTTTTAGGCATAGGGGCTACAGTGGTAAGACACAACCCCTGACCTCAAGGAGCGTATTATGATCTACCTATATGCAGAGGCAAGCAGGAAAATAGGCAATTAAGTATAATATACTCTATGGTAGTACAGGAAACAATGGGGATACACAGGAAGGATACCCAGACAAACTCAATCTAAGACCTAAAATGACAGTAGAGGGTATGAAGGGGTATGAAGGGGAAGGAAGTAGAAAAGAGAGTTCCAGGCAAAAGGAATCACATTTTGGAGTTTACAACTGAACCACAAGAAACAGTGAAAAAAAAAGAAAAGTCGTTTGTTTGTTTGTTTATTTATTGATTTATTTATTTATTATTCATTCATGTGCCAAATCATATTGAAAATAATATTGACAATATGTAATAATGTGTCTTTTATCACATACATGAAATATTCAATACATTCTGACATATGAATAAATGAATGAAGGTTATCACGTGTATTCATGCCTGTTCTGTATTCATTCCAACTCGCTGGTCTCTTTTGAGAGATAACATTGATTATCTCCATTCACATCTTTTTTATTTCTTGTTAAAGTATTGATAAACAAGGAAGAACTTTAATCCACAAACTGACCCCATGGTTGTGGATAACCATGAGGCTGACTCACATAACTATGTACAATTCAAGTCTCAATATTCAGGATAACAGGAATAGGAGCTGTACTCTGGAATTGTGCTGTCCGGTATGAAAGCCACTAACCATGGCTACTTAAATTTAAATGTGTATTAATTCAAATTAAACAAAAAGTCAGTTTCTCAGTTACACTAGCCACCTGTTAACTATTCCATCACTTATGCTATCATATTAAACAGCACGAAGGACATTTTTATCATTGCAGAAAGATCTATTAGATAATCCTATTCTAGAATCTAAATTATACATTTTACTAAGCAATAGAAACTTATCTCAAAATGGTGTTGAAAAATAATAGTTGCTCAGTAAATAGTTATTGATATTTTTTATTTAGTTCTATTCTCCTTTAATGGAAAGTCTTACTTAGGAAAGGAGAAACCAACATTTACATAAATCCCTTAACATACTTTTGTAGCAATCAAGTTAAGAATTTGATGAAAGGGCTGTCTGTCTCTTTCTTGAATCTGGAATACTAGAACATGTCCCAGCTGTTAGTGTAGCATGGCTGCCTAGGTGGGACTGACAAAACAATCTGAAGGTGGCAGGTTTCAATTCCACGACTCCTTGTAGTGCACTGCCCGCTTTCTGGGAGGTGCTAACGAGTAGTATCACTGCCAAGAGTGTAAGCAGCAGAGGGGAGAAGGAGATGCCAGGACTTTGTGGAATCTACTTTGAATAATGAAGAATTAAGTATCATTCATCTCAAACTGATTTTCTAGACACAGTGCCAAGAAGCAAACAAGTAACTCTATATACTTGTTATCAGAATCTGAAGGAATTTCCAAGGAGAATGGTTGGCACCTGAATCTGAGTGTAATTCATTTTACAAATCATTTTCCCCACCCATTAGGGTAAGTATAATTATTTTAAGTGTGTTCAGTATCCTGGTGTATGTGCTTATAGCTGTACTCGATAATATCCAAGTGCTCATCAGGTAGCAGAGTAGAGTTCGAAGATCAATGATCTCTAAGCATCAGTTTATTTGCTTGCTTATTGACTTACCTCATTGCAGAAAGAATTAAAAATAGTCAATAGTAACCAATGGAAGTAATCCATGAATGCCTACTTTAAAAACTGTTTTATTTTAAAGATGTGGGGTACAATTCAGGATTAGGTAAGCAAGAGGTCATCATGCTGGTAAAATTTGGACCTAACTTTGGTCCCCACTTTGCCTGGTTTGAGATCAGGTACCTTCATTAATGTTATGTGCCCCCTGCCAGTTTCCAGCTACTGCCACGATTGTGTTCTTACTTATTAAGTATGTCACTACTTATCCGATGTGTCTTTTGTGTCAAAAAATAAAGCAAAAATGCCTAATCTTTGACACAAAAGACATATTTGATAAGTAGTGATATATTTAATAAGTAAGAACACAATCAAAATAACAACAAATAAATGGATATATTTGCCTCTCACTTTAGTAAGATCTTTTATAAAATGAGAAAATCTAATTTTGGTGCAGATATCATGATAACCTTAAATTTAAATTTAAATTTACACACTTGCTATTGAGAGTATAAATTAGTTCAACTCTTAGGAAAATTGTTGTACCAAAGTCTTTAAAGTAGCTATGCTCTTTAACATATTTTCACTACTCAAAATATCATAAATGAATAATCTATAAAATAGTGAAACTTATCTTGAAGAAGATATTCTTTGAAGTGTTTACACCCAAATTTGGAACAACCTAAAATTGGGAAATAATTAAGTAAATCATGCTAAATGTAGAGTCATTAAAAATATGTTAACATAGAGTTTTAATAACATTAGAAAATACCTAATTGCTTAAATTAATGCTTTAATTTAGGGGGGAAATTACATAATTGCATATTGACATAAGTTCACTGACATAAAGAATATACAAGAAATATGCAAAATATTTTAACAATGATGACTTCTAAGTGATAACACTTTATTCCTTCTAATTTCCTTAATCTAAACTTCTACAAAGAACAAGTATTTATTCTTCAACTGGCAAAATTAGGTAATAATTCAGAATTATCCATGAGGCAAATGTTTAAATTCCACTGCATGTGATCTCACTAGTTCTACTGAAAATGTATGGATAAACAGTTTAGGGGGAGTACATTTTGGTAGACAGGGGTAGTGGTTGGGGATTAGGGCTCAAGAGTCATCAAGATATAGACAGATGCTTACAACGACACAAACTGGAAGACAGGAAGCAGTGATGTCCTGAACTTCATCTTTTCACTGGTGCAGAGCAATGTTTTGGGAGAAATAAGCACAGCATCATGGGTTGCCTACTGAGTACTTTCTCTTATTATAAAGATGCAAGTTTCAATTTAGGGTTAGGTGTACAAACACTGATTATGCAGGTACCCTTGTTGATGGGGTGTGCCCTTCCCTCCCCTGGCAGTTTCTGAGTATTTTCAGCATGATGTGTGCTGAACATAATATGGACTTAGAAATGAAAGTCTTCGTCAACCACTTGGTATGTGTAAAATGATTCTAAATTAAAAACTAGTTACACACACACACACCAATGTCTGCCTTGCATGGTTGCTAGGAGGACTGAAGAGTTTACATAGGTGTCTGCCATCATGCCCGATACAAAATATGTTCAATAAAAGAGGCTACAAGCTTGGTTTCTCGGGGGAGGGAGGGATTTAGAGATTACTGGTTGCAGAACAGAAAAATGTTTAGCAATCGGGAATCTACAATGAAATCTCCCAAATCACCACACAGTGACTTAAAGGTAGAAACTCATGCAGGCAGCCAACACTGGGGAATTCAATCAATGAGTATTATTAGCTAAAATAATGGATGAGCTGTGTCTTAAAGAGTTTAACAAAGTCCATATATTTGTCCTTCTTCATGGCTGCATACTATTCCATTGTGTATATGTACCACATTTTTTTTATCCAGTCCAGCTTCGATGGGCAACACGGTTGGTTCCATGTTTTTACTATTGTGAATAGAGCTATCCTACTCAGTGATTTATCACAGAAACAAAGAACTGAGTCCTGTATGTTCTCACTCATAAGGTGACCTCAAACAATTATAATGCTATAAGAAAGTGATTGGCAGGAGTGGAAACCTGTCAGCGGAAGGGGGGGGTGGGACTGGCAGTTGAGGGAAACTGCTAGGGGAGGGAGGGGCACACCTCACAACAAGGGTACCTGCATGATCAACATTTGTATACCCACCCCTGAATTGTACCCCACATCTTTATAATAAATAAATAAAAGTTTTAAAAAGAGTTTAACAAACGATAACTACTTTCTAAATATTACAGATTAAAATCTCAACATCCTTGCTGCCAGTAATAGGATTTAAGCTTGAAAAAATTCTGTTTTGCCTAAGTGATCCAGGTGCTTCTGGAAGTGCAAAGTTCAGGGTTACCCGCGTCTTGCTGTGCGCAATGTAACCGCTTTAGCCTGGCGTTTATGACGGTGTGCGGTCTGGCTCAATCTGCCTTTCTATTCTCACTTTCTATCACATCACGTCCATAATCCCTATTTCAGACAGATTAAACTACCTGCTCCTTGCATACTCCTGGGTTATATTCCTTTGCTCCTTTATACATTCCTTCTGCTCACTATTTGTTGAATCAACAACCAAATGAATGAGCGATTATAAAGATAAATTTACTGTATCAAATTATCCAATGTTTTGTTTAAAGCACTGGGGGGGGGGGAGCGACAACTTAAATGTCTCTGAATCTCCACTGATGTTGCCCAGCTTGATTTTTGATGACACTTCTTGTCTATTCCTATGTTTCTGAAATAAATACATGAATTTCAAAACCGGCATGTCCCTTTGGTTTGCAGCGGCCGCGGCGGCGGACATGGCTTACCACCACATCCGGCCTCCCATTGGCTACTCCATTCCCAAGCCCATATCATCCCTGCTAATGCGAGGGTGGAACGCATGTCCTGAAGTGAGTGATTTTTATTTCCTTTCAGAAAATGTGCTATGGTCAAAATCTGTCAGAAATCACGTAACTCCAAAGTCTACTCTCAGTGTGTATTTTAAGACTGTCAAGGCGGGAAGACTGATTTGCCTTCTGCTCTTTAGTCTCTAATTGCCTCAAGAAGTCTGAGCGTCTCATATTTCTTTGCTGCAGCTCTCTGATTTTGAAATGTTTCGCACAACTGATTAGTAAAAGAGAGACCAGGGTAGGACGGATGACTCCTTCTCATCTCAGCTGCAATTTTATTAACTATGCTTGAGCCACACTCAGTCATTTTCTGGAGAAATAAATTTGGCACGAGATGGATTTTTGGTGGTTTTGAACCATGAGGCAGGGCTTTGGGCAAAGACCTCCAGGCAGGTGGTCCTTAAAAGCACTGGCTCAAGCAGGAGGCAGAAGACCTGGTCCTATTCCCTCTCTAACTCTTTGAATGAGCGTGTGATCGTGTGGTTAGTAGCATAGACTCAGAGTTCAAATGAAGTGTCGATGTGATGGGAGGAATAAGCCAAGTAGGACGTGTAACCAATGAAACATAAATTTTTGAATATGGTCAATGATCTAAGAGAGTTGAGGGGGACAGTCCTATAAATCCAGAATGAAAGCCCGGGCCATGTGTCTACAAGAAAGGATTCTTCTTAAGTGTGCAGACGGGGGGATGTCTACTTTGTGCTCAGAGACTGGCAGAGGAGATTCCATGCCTTTACTCCTGGGACCACAGCTCAGTTCAGTGTCTAAGACTTGCTCTGCCAGTATATTGTGTTGTCTATTGTGTTCTGATCAGTTCATTGATTCTTCTGCCTTGACTGGAGGGTATTAATTTGCATTCTTCACACTGGAGAACAAGAACAGGCCTAATGATTCTCATTTGTCGAGTCCAAACTATTCTAGCTATTATTGTACTTTTTCTTATACAACCTTGTTTCCGATCCCTCCTAGGCACTTTATCCCTCTTCAGTAAGAGAACAAAGTGAGGCTCTCATTATTTCAAGAAGTATCTCACCATAGGAGACGTAGAATAAGCCCCAGCCCAGATGTTTGAAAGGAACAAGCAAGTTTCCCATTCTTTTTCCAAGGACAAAGCCTGACCAAGTCATTACCCAATCTCACTCGTGTACACAGAAATTCTTATGAAGAAAAATGAAGAGACTTGTGGGGTATAGTCTGAGTATCTCAGAAGATAAGCTCTCCTCGGACCACTCAGTCTGATATATTACATATGTACATGTTTACGATCTCTCAGTCGCAAAATGTTAGCTGCAAAAAAGCAGGGGCTTTTTCGTTCTGTTTTGCTGTGTTTGCCACTATATCCCAAGCACCTTGAATCGTACCTAGTAGATGCTCAAAAACATCCATCGAGTAAATGAATGAGCACCACCATCACTAAGCAATGCCTCCAGTCCCCACTTCTGAACATTCAAGTACAGAATGTTTCTTCTTGAAAATTACATCACTTGAAATCGTTTGGGAAAACCTTTCTTGTCTGTTAATATGAACCTCAGGTATATTTTCTGAGATTAAGCGAGTCAAGCACCCAATCTAAAGTTTCATTCTCTCTGTGGGACCTGAGTTATGCCAAAGTCTAGCACAAATTAACAATCGAGAAAATCCTTTTGCTTGTATTAACTGACACTTCATGATTATAGATAAGGGACATGTGGAAGTTTTAATTTGGAGATGAAAGCAAGTCATTGGCAGATTCTAAAGTATTTTTTGGTATAATGGATGCTTCAAGCAAAAAGTTGGGAAATGAGAAACAGAAATCGGAACAGGGCCCGAGGAGGGTACTGGTAAAGAGAGAGAAAAAAAGAGGCTGAAAAGCGATTACTTTGTGGAAGAGTTTTTGGTAAGAAGTGAATTTTATGAGCACCACGTCTTTGTTCTGGTGATGAGGTTCAAGAGGAAGGGGAGAAAAAGCATATTCGAAGAGCAAAGCCTGTGACTGACTGGCAGTGGCTGAGCTTGTCAGTCCGTTGGGCCCCGGCTTGGCGGCAGCACCCACTTCAGGATGACAAAATGGAGCTGTTTCTGTGTGTGACCCACTTGGGTCATCCTTACACTGGCCAATATGGTCGTTACCATGTCAGTAGGCTGAGTGTTGAGGAAAAAAGGAGCCCTGGCTCATTTTTCAGTCTTTCCTTCAACAATTACTTATTGAATTCCTACTGTTTACATCTCAGGAATAGCGGCTAGGGAGTCCATGGAGTTGCCATTTTAATGGAGTTTAAGGCCTAGTAGTGATATGGAGAATACTTGAGCAAATGTATCAATGGTTCAACAGTTACATGCCAACATTAAAGAAGAAAGGTTCTATGAGAACATACAATAAAGGGGTGTTTGCAAGTTGAAGGACAAAGAGATGGTGTAGGTTAGTGAAGGCTTCCCAGAAGAAGTAATGTGACACTTGCACTGAGATTATAAGCATAAAGAGGAGTTTTCCAAATTGAAGAGTTGGTGAGAAAGAAAGAACAGTCCATGCAAAGAGAACACGTGCCAGTGCACTGGGAGAAAAGACGCAGGGAGAGAGTTGTTAGCAGTTGGAACACTGTGGTTAGTGAGGAGTTAAATCTCCATACCAGGCATCACTTGAAACAATTTCACCTTCAGATCTAAGAGGAACATCATGCTATCCTGGCCATGACTTTCTGGGATTTCAACTGCGCTACTCATTTTTTTCTATCATGTCTGTCTTTACCTCATTCCTTACATTTGAAATGCAGTATCTTCTTCTTAGTCAGACCTCAGAAAGGTGGAACACAGTGGGCAGGGCAAACACCAGCCTGCTGAAGACAGAAGGCGGCTGTTGGAAAACAGCGAGACGTGTAAAAAAGTGAGATGGTGTCAGGTTTTGGAAAGTCAAATGGTATGAGGTTTTGGAAGGGAATCTGAACATGAACTTACAGGCAATTCTATTTTTGTCTCTAAAATATGTCAGTGGAAATAGATGATAAAAGTAATTTTTTTGGGAAATGCATCTGCGTTTGATATGATTTTTTCACTTAGTCAACAAATCGTATGTAGTTCATATAGTGAGGCAAGTACTGAATTATCTTCTAGTGTTCATTGGAATTTCTAAGGATTGTTTCTCTTTTATTTTTTTTTTTTTTGAGTGGGAGTCTCACTCTGTCGCCCAGACCGGAGCGCAGTGGCCGCTCCCGGCCACCGCAGCCTCAACCCGCTAGGCTCCGGCCATCCTTCCGCCTCAGCCTTCCGAGGAGCCGGAATTACAGGCACGCGCTACCACGCCCGGCTGATTTTTGATTTATTGTAGAGATGAGGTCTCGCTGCCCAGGCGGGTCTCGAACCCGCGGGCTCAGAGGATTGTTTCTTAACGTGTGGGCTGCAAACTGTGTGTTCCAGACTACCCTGGGATGTTTGTTAAGACAAAGATCCTGGGGTCCTGACCTGAGTCTACGGAGTGACAACCTCGGGGTAGAGCCTGAGACTGTGCAGTTCAGCAAGCACCTCAGGTGATCTGTGCCCAGTAAAGCCAAAGGCCATGAAGTTAGAGAAGTCAGCTGGGCTGCCTTTGCAGAAAGCCGGGGGGATTGCAACACACAGACTATAATGGTTACCATGGGGATTCAAGGGCAAGGGTAGACCTGAGCACCGTCTCAAAGGAAGTATCACAAAGAGGTGAAAGGCTGGATTTCAGAAACGGAAGAGGGTCACGAATCCGGGACAGCTGTCACCGCTGCCTTCGGAGAGCGGAGAGCAAGTAGCCAAGAGTGCTCTCTAGGTCCTTGGACATCAGGGACAGAGTTGGCAACAAGAGGAGGGAGAACAAAGCGGAGGACGGCTCTGCAGAAAGGTGATGGTGCTTAGGGAAAAAAAACAGGTAAAGGAAAAGATTGCTACTGAGAAAGAAGTCACCTGGTCTGCAAGGCTGAGAGAACTGTCAATTAGCACGGAGTCAACTTACTGCGCAAGAAGTAGGTGGAGACACTTACCTCACCTTAAAGGTGCTTGCAGAATAAGGTGGGATTCAGGGAAGACAGACAGATGGCATGGGAGTTAAGCTCAAGCGGAAGGGCTGAACAAAGACAGAGGGGAGAGGAGTCGGGGTTCTTGGAGGGAAAGGGGAAGAAGAGAGGTAAAAAAGTTAAGGACTTTCGATGTCAGAAAGTCAAGTCATTTGCTGGCCATTCTGAGCAGGAAGTAGGTGGGGTCTGTACACCATATTTATTACATAATAATCTGTTAAGCTTTTGAAGCTGATTTATTATCGTTATGCCAAGTGTAGATATAAAGATACAGAGACCCAGGCAGATAGAGAGAAGATAGAAGAGGGGGTTTGTTTCCTCTTTAACCTTTTTTTCTCCCAATAGAAAACTGAAATATTATATCATCCTATACGGTGAAGGTATGCCTTAAGCATTTCACAAGGGATATCAATAATTAAACTACTTGAGTATACCCATCATTTTCAAATAAGTGTGGCTTTGAATGCGAGATGTTTATTCTGTTACTGCTTTTCAGTCTAATATTTATAAGCACATTTAATTCCCGGGCACAAGGAAGAGTTCTCACCCCAAACAATAGTGGCATGCTAAACTCAAGAGATCAAACCTTGAGAGCTACATGCTAATGGGTTATTTGGTTTTCAAAATCTTAAATTAATGACAACTGGCAATAAAGCTCATTGAAATTCCTTTTGTTCAGGATCCATTGTGTTGATCTTGAAGCCCGGTTTGTTCTTCCAAGATGATTGAAGGTGAGATCTCCACCTAGTGGATTTATAGGATTTTGCAGATCTTACAGAAGCAGCCTGCTATTCCTGGGAGAATGCTTTTTTTCCTCTCTCTCTTAGAGAAATAACAAACAGGTTTTAAAGACTTCTACTTAAGATCTAGGATAATTGTCAACAGAACAATTGCAAATGGATGAAATATACCATTATGCATATCAGCTAGATTACAGCTAACAAAGCTGAATTTTTATTTTCATGTTGTAATTAAGAAAACAGATCA